CTAATCTTTGCACACCATACCCAAAATATGTGAGGTGAAGTTTTATCATCCTTGCCTCCCAGGGAGTACTCTGGCTATACCTTCTCCCAGACATAACTGTCCTTATGTCAGTCCATGGGATATTCAACACTCTTCTCTAACTCCATAGTTCAAAAGCATCAATTCTTCTTCTGTCATCCTTTTTCATTGTCCAGTTCGCAGATACATGGCAAGGGATTGAAAAGACCATGGTCTGAATCAGGTGCACCTTAGTACTAGCAGTCAGAAGATCGGGAACTATATTGCACTGGGAAAGTCTATAGTCAGAAACCTTTGCAAAGTATTGAGGAGCAATGGTATTAGTTTGAGGATTAAGGTGCACCTGATTGTGGATCCAAATAAAATGAATTGGCAGTTTCAATCTTTTCTTCATCATGATGGTGCCTATTGGTCCAGCGATGAGAATTTTCGTTATCTTGATGTTGAGATGTAAGTCCATATTGAAGTCTATCATCTTCTGATCTTCTGTGGCAAGTGCTTCAAGTCCTCCTCACTTTCAGCAAGTAAGGTTGTGTCATCTGCATAACAAAGGTTATTGGTGAGTCTTCCTCCAATTCTGATGCCACATTCTTCTCTATAGTGTCCTGCTTCTCCAAGAATTTGCTCAGCATATAGATTGAAGAGGATTGCTATGAGTTGTGCTCCACACCATGGCACCTAACAAAAAGAGTCTAATGATGCTTCCCCCCCTTCATAGGTGCCAGTTAAAAGAAAATACTATATTTATGACCTTGAATTATATCTACAATCTTATACTCAGAAAAATTGTCACAAAATAGAAAAATGCTGGCTGGACTGTATTGGAAGAGAGCATTTTACTTAAGGAAGAGTGAAATCCAGATTTTGAGGTGTTTCTCTTTATTTGTTATCGATTCAGATGCTTCTGTGGTCCCTAGGACCCCACAGGTATTGCTCAGAAGGAAAACGCATTCCTTTTGGATTTAGTACTTTTGACACCGGATTGGTGGTTTGGCAGGGGAAGTGGGAGAAACTGAACGAATTTCTCAGGAACTTTCATCCGTGAGCCCTGAGGGGACATGAAGAGCTCTAGTGGTAAGAAGCTGCGCTTCCTTTGGGATCTCAAGCACCAGCAGCTCCATGAGAAAGGGTGGGCGCACTCCTCTGGTGTGATTTCCTGCCTCAGAAAACCTGCTAGGACACCACCCCTAAGTGGTCACAGGGGTCAATACTGGCGAGTTCCCAGTTTCTAGTCCACATTCCCTCGGATCCCCTGGTAAGTAAGGCACAGCTCCCGTCGCAGTGACCCCCACGGCGCGCTCTAGGTGAAGACAAGTCAGGGTTATCACAAACGAGTCAACTTGAGCGGGCTAGCGGGCTAGCGTGCTGGCGGGCGAAGCGCCAGGCCGCTGGGCGGGCCAGGGGCGGGGGCGGTGGGCGGTGCGCGACGTGTCCGGGGGCGGGCCGCCGCGGGTCAAGGGAGCCCCACGTGGGCGCCGTCCCGCCGGCTTTCCTTGCTCTAGCTGGTGCTTGGAGCGCGCTTCCTCTTCCGTTCTCCTGAGCGAGGGGAGGTGCAGGTCCTGGCGGCGCCGCGGCGCGCCCGCTGCTGCCCGACGGCTGCGGAGCTGTGACGTCCGGCTTCCCGCCGGTTACGGGGCGGGCAGCGCGCCCGGAGCGCAGTGGGTCGCGCGCCTCGGGGGCGCACGGGCGCGGGGACAGGGGGCAAGGTGGGCGCTGACCGGGGAGGAGGCGAGCGTTCGTGAGGGGAGATGAGGAAGCCGGACGTGAAGATCGTGCTCCTGGGGGACATGAACGTGGGGAAGACGTCGCTGCTTCACAGGTACATGGAGCGACGCTTCCAGGACACGGTCAGCACGGTGGGGGGCGCCTTCTACTTGAAGCAGTGGCGCTCCTACAACATCTCCATCTGGGACACTGCAGGTGAGCGGCGGCGGCACCTTTTTTTGTGTGCTTTCCTGTTAATTTTTAAACTTTCTTGGGTAAAAGACTGGAGAGCGGGGGCAAGAGGGATGGACTTACAGCCCCAAAAGTAGCGTCCCCAAGAGCAGGATGTCCCTGGCCGGAACAAGGTCGGACTTTTGGGAGACAGGTGCCACTGTCTCGGGTTCAGGCCGTTAGTTCCTAGTCGTGCCCTTGTTTTTCCACTCGTCCTTACTTTCTGGCTTCAAAAACTCTCAAGACTGTTTAATTAGTACCTGCAGCATAGCGACTATCCAGGTGGTACTTGAAAAACACCTCTTATTCGCAAGAGAGAATCTGCTTGTTATTTGTATACACAGATGTCATCCGCAGCTTTTGGCTGCAGGTCACTGCTCATTGTAACCGGGAATGTCTCTTGTCTCCCTGACACCCACGTCCTCCCCCCACAAGTTTCAGTTTGTGAAAGTGCTCTTGTAAACTTAAGCTTGGTTGTGAACCCAAACAGCCTTGACGGAGAGGCAGAGTTAGTCTGTTCCTCCGCTTTTATTTACAAAACAGTGAGCTGAAGGACAGCCAGTTTTTTATCCAAGTTCTGTCAAGACGGAGGGAAGTGGAAGGAGTCTCCTCTGGCCTAGTCTGGAGCGTATTTGCATTTCTCAGCATATTTCTCGTCTCCTTAATTTTGGTTTATGTTTTGTGGGTTTGGAATAATTTCCTGTAGCATTTCTAAGATAATGAATACTTTTTGGGGCCTGCATTGTCATTTTTCAAAAGACCTCACTTATTTGTTGTTGTTCTTCATTTAAGCTTTCCATCTATTAGCTCTGCAGAATTGCTGTGGTGATTATAGTGTTCCAGTGGGTTATAGTTCCTTCTTGGAAAAGAGTTTATTTAAATAAATAGAGAAACTGGAAGTAGTCTAACACATTTTTTACAAGTGCAAAACTTTGAAAACCTGAAACTTTAAGGTCTGGTTTCTTTTATGTCAGCACTTTTAAAAGGGATATACCCAGAGGTCTTATCCAGACATTTTCAGTTGCCAACTTTGGTACAACAGACTGCTGAATAAACAAGATTATAACTAATTCTCTTTTCAGCACAGAATTAATGAAGTTCACCGACGTGACTCTGCCCCTTTCCTCAGTGCTTTTTTTGTTGCTGTCTTTTTTGGTTATTATAATAGTCAGCGTACTGACTAATTTTTTGCAGTCATTGTTTTAAACATCAGCCATCCAAGTAACTGTTCCCTGCTCCTCCCTCCACATCTGCTCTCTTCTCAGGAAGCTCTAGTGGCTTAATGGTAAGGAGTTTTCCTGCCAACACAAAGGTATATAGCTCGAATCCATCAGCCGCTCCATGGGAGAAAGAGGGACAGTCTCCTCTTATGCAGTTTACTACCTCTGAAAACCCACTGGAGGGTCTGCTATGAGTCAGTTCCAGCTTGATGGCACTTAACAACAGCAGACTTCTTCCCAGGGCTATGATGTATGATTTCACTGAGACCCTTTCTGTGTCTTGTGCCATCTAGCCCATGGCAACTCCTGACTCATGGCAACTTCATGCATTACAGACTAGAATTTCTCCATAGTTTTCTTAAATCCCCTGGCCTAGTGGGTAAGGAGGATGCTCAGGCCCAGCAGTTTACCCATGGCAGAAAAATGAGCTCTCTCTTCCTGTGTGATCTACAGTTGTCACAAGATCCCTTCAGGAAACCAACAAACAACAAAGTTAAAACTAAACAAACAGCTCATGGCCATCATGTAGGAACTGACTCATAGCTGACTCTCCAGTGAGTGTTTAGAGGCTGTAAATCGTGCAGGAGGAGATGACACATCTTTTCTTCTGCAGACCATCGGGGAGGTGCTTCGGCTTAGCAGTGTAACTCCCTACAGGCTACAACATCTGAGATCTCTTCAGAGCTAAAGAGTATCATTTGCCTTTTAAAAGCAAACCCAAACCACATTTTAGTGATGAGGAAAGGAAGGTGGCAGTAGTTAGGATTCAGATCTTGGTCTTCTATCTTGTTCCAACATTTTTTCCATTGGACCTTTGTGGATTCTCGTCTTTGTTCTTAATTTACTCATGCTCTCATTGGGCAAAGAAATTTGATGTAATCCCTGCATGTTGATATGGTAGTATAAGAACACAAAAGGAAGTCTAACAGTGTATCACCACCCTGATCTTCTCTACTACTCTTTTGATCAGTTTGATGACTGAAAAGATGTTGCCTGCATTATGCAGATGATACAACCTTGCTTGCTAAAGGTGAGGAGGACTTGAAGTGCTTGCTGCCAAAAGAAGATTAAGGATTATAGCTCTTGGTATGGATTGCATCTCAGCATCGAGAAAACAAAATTTCTCATCATTGGGCCAACAGGATAGATGGAGAAAGAATAGAAGTTGTTGGCAGTTCCATCTTACCTGGATTTCCTTGGCATGAATAGTGAGCAGATCAAAAGACGACTTTTGCTTTGAGAAAATCTGCTGTCAGTGACTTCTCCATAGTGCTAATGAGCAGTGATACCAGTCTAAAGCCTAAGGTGTTCCTGATCTGAGCCATGGCCTTTTCATTTGCTTGCAATGCATTTTGAAAGCTGAACAATCACTAAGGCTGATAGAAGAATGAGTGCTCTGAGTTGTGGTACTGGAGAAGGGTGTTGAATATCCCAGGGATTTCCCAGAGAACAAACATGGACTCTCCTGGAAAAAGTGAAGCCAGGGTGCTTGGTGGAGGCAAGGATGGTGGAACTCTGTCTCATTTACTTTGAGCATGTTGTCTGGAGGAGTCTGTCCTTGGAAAAGGACATCACGCTTCTAAAGGTGGAGGGTCAGCTCAAGAGCAGAAGACCCTCAGTGAGATGGAGTGACTTTACCAGTGGGATCAGGTGTGGCAGAGACAGTGTGATTGGCTCAGAAAGGGTAAAGTTCAGAGTCTTTGTTCATAGGGTTGCTGTGAGTTATGTGCCAACTTGATAGCACATAACAGTTATTGTCGGGTAATTACAAACTGAGCGCCTCCTAATGTACCAGGCCCTGCTTTAGGGCTTGGCTTCTAGCATTGAGCGCTTACTTGCTGCTTCCTGACATTAACATTCCAGAGAAGGAAAGACAAACAAGAAAACAAATAACTTCTATTTTCTAATTTCTTATTTAAGAATTGCTCTGAAGAAAACATGACAGGATGATGAGCGATGAGCTTGCTAGTTGAGTCTTTTGTTGTTTGAAACAGCAGCTTTTGACTGTCCTTGAAAAGGAAGGACCAGGCCCTTGTGGTGTAGTGCATTACATGTTGGGCTACTAACCATAAGGTCAGTGATTTGGATCCAAGAGCTGCTTCTCAGGAGAAAGATGAGGCTGTTTCCTCTGTTAAAGATTTACAGCCTTGAGTGGAGTGGACTTGAGGGGAGGGATTGTGTAACAATGAAAGAATTTTTCTTTTTTCTTTTCAAGAAGAGTGAATTGGGGGGAGGAGGTGGTCAGGGAGAAAAGTGCAACCGTGAGTGACTGGAAACCCTAAGTCTCTGTAAAAGTTCATTTAAATTAATGAAAAAAATGTTAAAAAAAAAAAAAAAGGATTTTTACAGCTTTGGAAAACCCATGGAGGGACACTACAAGGTGGAATCAACCTGATGGCAGTAGGTTTGCTTTCTGGTTTGTTTTTTAAAGACTAAGACCATGGGAGGTGGCACAGACAAGGAATTTAAATCCCAGATTTTGGAGCTAAATTGCGTATCTTTTATTCCCTGATCAGCTGCTGTTTCAGTTTCTCACTGTTGCTTCAGTGGGTAGAAACTTTTGAGGATGTTGCCATAATAAGCTGAATGTATTTTGCCAGAAATTGGACTGTAGTAGTCAGAATGATGTGCTCCCCAAAGGTCGTTTTTTGACTTAAAATTTCGTCCCTCATTTTGCATCTTTTTCTCTTACGTGTTGTTATAAACAGCAAGAAACTAACCACGCCTTCATGTACTTTTGTTTTAGATCTTCTCTGCTCTCCTAAGTTCATCCTCTACACATTCTGATTTTGGCATAACTTCAGGGCACCGTGCCCTTGAACTTTTTGCGTTGTATGACAAGTATTTTCTCCAGTTTCTAGTAACACATAGTCCTAATTTTCATCTGAGCTGTTCTCTGGCAGGGGAGCTCAGCCCTGGTGTCTATCACACTGGTTAAATGCTAGTGGCTGCTAGTCAGAAGGTCAGTAGTTCAAACCTGCCAGCCATCCTATGGGAGAAAGATGTAGCAGTCTACTTCTGTGAGATTACAGCCAGGGTAACCTTAAGGAGCACTTCTACTTTGTCACTATGTGTCAGAATGACTTAAAGGAAAAGAGGGTTCTAATAGGTAGCATCTTTGATTATTGTAACTTTTGATGATTTATTTAGATGTCCTTCAAGAAGCTATATGCTTTCGTTACTATGTTCCTTACTCACTTTGAATCCTTATTAAAAGAGTAACTAAAAATCCCTATATCTATTAATCTGGTAAAGACAGCCTAGGCTTTTTCTGTAATACTCCTCAAAATTTCTTTCAGCCTCTGCCCAGTACCAAGTGCTGTAGCCACACCACACTTTCAGGTATTTATTACTGCATTGCCACATATCTAATATCTGTACTAGTCTCCTATTGTTGCCTTAATAAATGACCATAAATTGAGTGACTGAAAACCACCCACATTAATTTTCTTGGAGTTGAAGGTCAGAAGTCTTAAGTCTTGATTTTTAGTGGTCTAAAATCAAGGTGTCAGGAGAGTTATACTTTCTTTGAAGGCTCATTGCACGATTCTGTTTTCTTGGTTTGCCACTCTCTGGGGGCTACCCTCAACAAGATGGATTGGCACTGACAATAACTGTAGGCTGGACATGGTTGAGGATGGCACAGGATGGGACAAGGTTCTCCTCTGTCCATAGGATTGCCATGAGGCTTAGTCTGCTTGATGGCACCTACGTGGTAAGGAGTTTCACCATTAGCCCAAAAGCAAATGGTTCGAATCTACCAAC